CTGCTGTAGTAGTAGAGAGCTCTGTGTCAAACTGCAAGCATCACCATTACTTCCTTCCCTGCTGAAATGAGACCTGTGGTCAAAACAGTCAAGTAAAAGGGTGCCAAGATTATTTTGACAAACAATTTAGAACAATGCTTTCTTGTACAGTGTGCCAGGGAAACTAATGATACAAATAGAAAAGCTTCCCATTAAAACATTAAAAAACAGTCACTTAATTGCAATATGGATGTTACATAGTGAGTGTTCAGTCAGCTGCATAGGCCTACAGTACAATCGATGTCCAATTCAACACTCATTTCCTCAGTAATGCTGTTTATAACTGAGGATATTTGTTTTGATGCAGCAGGCACAGTTATACAAGAATACCCTGAGGGGGACTTTAATTTAAAAATATATTTTTTCATATGTCAGTTATATGCTGGAAGAAAAGAATAGGTTTTTTTTTTTCAGCAATAGCAAATGGTTTTGCAACAAAAAGTAATTTACAGCCTTTCCACTGATGCATTTGGACAAGCCTTAGGAGTTTAAGAGCACATTTTGTTTTATGTTTGTTTTAGAAAACTTTCTAAATTTTGGCTTGCAATCACTTCGGGATGCATTCTGAGTGAGTTCAGTGCCAGTGTTGAGGGGGTAAAGTGTTCAGTATTGTGTGCACTATGCATGACATAAGAAAGCTTGACACAGCAGTAAATCCTATTTCTGGAATGATGTGAGTTTTAAATGGTTTCTCTAGAAACAGAAATGAGCGTTTGCAGAAATGAGCGTTTCATGCTTCCTCAGCTACACGCTTAGCTTAGTGAACAAGAATCAAGACAGATTTGAAAGATGACACTCCTAAGTAGACTTCCTTACTAATTGCTGCCAAACTACATCAGCAAAAACATGATAATAATTAATACGGAATTAATTCTTGCCAAAGTTGACTGTAACTGCTTGTAAAAGCTCACTTTATTACACCCGAGTGATTCTCTATGGAGTACATGGAGCCTGTTTAGATAGAATAGTGCCAAGGCAGATGTGTTTGGAGTTAGCAGGGGGTTTTGGATTGACTCTCGGAGAGATGCTTTGCTGTCACACACACATGCAGCGCATGTGCGAAGAGTTAACACACTCGCTAATCATTCTCAAATGAACCTAATTGTCGCCTCGACTCCCTGCTGAGAAATGTGTGTGTGTGTGTGTCTGTGTGTGTGGTGTTTTGGGCGCCAGGCTCCTCTTCTCATTAGATGCAGAAGAAATGTTCTGTCTTGCAGTCTGGATCATGTGTGGAGTGCGCTGCCTCTTTTCTTCCAAAGCCATTTCAGAGCTGTCATGTCAAACCCTGCTCCCAACCCTATATAATACCTCTAGTGGTGGGAGAGAAAGAAAGAAATCCTCGTACTCTTTCAGCTGAAGAACAGACAAACATAAAAATGTGCTGCCGTTTGGAGACCATTTCTCAAGTTCTTCCATTTTTCAGCTAACTATCAAATATTTCCTATTTCTCATTAACTGTCATGTAATACGTACAGGTAAACAGGAACATGTAAGTCCATGCTTCCCCCATGCTGTAATTCATTAACCACTACAGTGTAAATAGCTGATCAGCTAAGTAACACATTTCCTGCTCTGCCTTTTCTTACTTGGGAATCCCTTTTTTTTCCTATTACATCAGGTATCTTATGACACATACAAATGTCTAAAACAGGGCTTTAGGAACATTATCCTGAAGGGCCACACCAATGCTAACACTGCAGATTCAGCTGAACATTTTGACACTAGTGTCTTGCAGGAAAAAAGAATGGATGACTTAAAACCTTTTTGGTGTTTTTTTTTTAAATATTGTGCTACTATACACAACATTCTCATTAAATATCATTAATTGCATGTGTGATTTATTTTATATTCATTTTGTTTGCTCATACTAATGTCGGGTGCCAATAGTTCTGGAGTTCACTCTACATGGTTGAAAGACATTTTTATAATGGTTTAATATTTAACATGAAAGATGAAATAATAGTATATTTTTAATTGGCTTACCCTGGTCAGAACCTGCTCAGTAAGAACATGTAATTGTGGTAACACCTTGTCTTTTTATTATTTGTGCGTACAAAAATGTTTTATGAGAATTATTAAAGCTTACGTACTGTAGCTTGCTTATAAGAATGCAGCCTCACTACGTCTGTAATAGGAATGAAACTGAATATGAATGAATTATCCGGAATGAACAGATAACGTGTTCCAAACGGATACAAATACAGATATTAATAGGAGATGGGAGGCACACTAATCATTTTTTCATGAGACTAGGTTTTTATTTTCATACAGGCATGAGCGAGTGGTGGGATATGAAGCTCACTGGACAAAAGAAATGTGTGGCATGATTGGGTGGTGCTGAGCGTTGCACTTCCAGCATCCTTAGTAACTGCAGGTCATGGTCAGGGTGGTTTAAATTAGGCTACTACTTTGTCTATATTTTGGGAAAGAGAACCAACTAAATTGGTTAAAAAAAAATCACAGGCAGGTAGAAAAAAAAACTCCACATCTCTAGTTGAGCCCAATTACGAACAGGAGTGATGTAGCTGAGGTTGAGGAACTGTCAGAGCCAGTATTCACACACCATGCTGACAGTGCTGGCATTTTTACCTCTGCGTTTTATCCAGTGTTGTGCAGTGTTTCTGGAAGCATAGTTCATATTTAATTTGGAGAGAAGGAAAACAACAACCGTCCTTCAGATTTCGGCCATACCTACTTCAGGATTAAATCCGAATACAGATATAAATATTTGGAGCACTAAAGAGATACTCTTGTCAATCACTTGCGGTCCCAGGAGGACTAGTGGTTAGGCCACGGTGCTCTCACCGCTGTGGCCAAGGTTTGATTCCTGGCCAGGGGTTGCACACGACAGCGCGCTCTCAGCGCCAGTCCCAAGCCCGGATAAAATTGTGGAGGGTTGCGTCAGGAAGGGCATCCGGTGTAAGAACTGTGCCAAATCAAATATGCGGCCCAATGATCTGCTGTGGCGACCCCTAACAGGAGCAGCTGAACAACAACAACTCTTGTCAATCATATTTCTTTCAATGTTTAGTCAGTTCAGTTGTTTTTTTAGTCTGGAGCGGAGGACACCATACTAGAAGTAAAACTATGACAGTCATGCAATAAGAAGCCATTCTTCTTTTTCTTGTGTCAGAAAAAAAAAAACAGGTGGAGTCTGATAACTGTGGCTTAAAAGTTACTGATCACAATTCTGCTGATCTACAACAGTAAGAGGAAACTGTTTGTGCTTAGGTCGTACAATATGTAAACAGCTGACTAAGTCCATTTTACTTACTTTATTAATGGGACAGGTTAACATTGCCTTTGGAATCAGGTATGACTTGTGTTGGTCTGGAATGAAACCCTGCAGCCACATTGTCTCGTTAGTGATTAAAGTGGGCACCTCTGGACTAGTCACACCTACATACTCACATGCCCCGGTGTTTTGGTATTACAGAACAATCCACTGTTTCTTATTTTGGTCTGTAGTTTTATTTATTGACACTCGGTGGAAAACCCTTGGCTGTATGTGTGTAACAGAATCCTGCCCTATTACCTGATATAACAGTGTAAATAGCAGGTCCACCGTGCTTACTGATTAAACCAGTGTGTGATTTATAAATCCACTAACTTATTAGCGCTCCTAGCAGGGTTATAAATGACCCTCCAGTGTCTACACACATCCAGAGAGACAGAGACAGAGGAAGTGAGGAGTGGTGGTGGGTTTTCATGTTCTGCCCTCAGGGTGAATGGGGAGTTGTGGGGAGGGCAAAGCACGGCGAGCCTCCCTCTGTTTTCTCCCTCCCTCTATCTCCCTCACTTGCTCTGTTTACAGCGTTTGTGAAGGATCAGTCTCTGGCGCTCAGCTAATTAAAGCTGCCATAGCCGTGAGCCTGCCGGGATAATGTTCTATTATTATAGTCATTTGTTTCAATTAAACGCTCTGTGATTTTACAATAGCAACTGTGAACCTGGGCCGAGTGAGCCATCACTCCCAACAAGATGTCTCCAATCAGAGAGAGAGAGACAGAGAGAGAGAGAGAGAGAGAGAGAGTGTGGGGGGATGGAAGAGAGCTAGAGAAAATGAAGGACAATAGAGCTGCCAAGATGCCAAGATACACCACATCTCCCAGTGGCTATTAGACTTGGTGCATTCACTCAACCATCCAAAAGTGTCATGACTGAATCTACAAAATATTCCAGCTGCTCATAAATTGTTAAATTACCATAAATCCCACAAAACTCCATACGTAGTGAACATACTGTATTAGGGTCTTAGTCGTGAACAACTCACATAGATTGCTGGAATTTCAGACTGTTTCAGACAGGTTTGTTTTGTAATAATTTATTTCTCTTTCAAATACATTTAAAGAGACAAAGCAGGTGGAAGAGGATTAAAGGTTATGGGCCTTGATTGTCCATATCTGTAACAATTGCTTCAGGAAGAAAGGATATATGTGCAGTCAACTCTATACTGACAGCAAGTCTACACTAATTGAAGGTCAAACACCAGCAGTCAGGCTACTACAGGAGAGGCAATACTCCCAAACATCACAAACAGTCAATAGCCAGACACTTCCAGCTGCAGAGACTTACAAGGGACGCAAAACAAAAGGGGTAAGGGCTTCCTCTCAGGCAACCTAGAATTTCGCTCACAACATTTCAGAAACTGACCCAGAACCTTAAAGGAATAGTCCCTGAAACTTATGAAATATGTTTACATTGCAATATTTGCAATCTGTTTAGTGATTCTGGTGCTAATTTTTGGTTGGTCCAGCATTTTTGTTATTCCATTATGTCATTAATAGTTATTTCTGTTATTTCATTAGTAGTGCAATCACAGTGGCTTTTAATAGGAGAAACCATAAGTAACTTTCATTGTTAGCTTCCAGAAACAAAAGAACAAGAGCTTCGATTCTCACTCACTATTTTCGAGCAACGTTCAATATCCTATCAATGAGAAATCCTAAGTAGAGTTAGTGGAGATAGCAAAAGTCAGACTCAGAGTTCCAGAATGCAGTTCAGCTGTATGACACACAGTTGTGCTGAGGTACAGCAGAGACTCGACTCGGCTAGTTAGCGAACTACGAGATGAGAAGCATGATCGCGGTGTTGATCGCGGTAATTGCATGAAGTTGAAGATTTGGTGCCCTGTGTTTGAGTGTACAGATGGACAGACTGAAGGATTAAAGCACTGCCGCATCTCTCTTTAGGAAATGATTAATTCCCACTGGCGCCACTGTCAGGGGGTAGCCGAATGGCATTGTGGGTAATGTAGGAAACTATTAGCCAAAGAAGACAGAACAACAATAAAAGAAGTCAATGAAAGAAGTATAAGCCAAAAAAAAAGCCAACTCAGAATTTAATTTTATAAAATATGTTTTGTACAATTGAAGATGACATTGATTATAAATACTGATATGCCATGATGTGTTGCTGTTGTTTTCACCTGCCTTCTTTATTTATTCATAAACAGAAACTGATATCGATGTTGTAAGGTTTAGATGGTGCAGAAGACAAGACAATTTACCTGTTTGATGCTGACCCATCTCAGCGCACAAGCTTGAAATTGTCCTTCAGCAGCACCTTTCTAGATGCATTGTGATGGTAATGAAATGGCGCCACATCAGACATCAGCAATCGTTACTGTTTATAAGTGCAAAAATGGTGTTTTGCCACACTGATACTGAGAGGTGGCACGCAATTTGAGTAAGCCTTTGAATTCTCTGTGGAGGAAAAACTCTACTGATCAAGATATTAGGTTTATGTGCGGGTTTTTTCTGAACTATTGTGTGCTTTATCCTGCTAGCGTGAGCCCTGGAGAGCAGCTGGGAATTGGCCAGTTATGTTGGTCTAGCGGACGAACAAGCCAGTCACAGTGCATGAGAGAGAGTCAAAGCCTGGGTCATAGGATCACTGGAGCAATAACACTGTGATATTCTTTCTATTGTCCATCTCGCACACACACACACACACACACACACACACACACACAGACACAAAATACTACCCACGATTGGATAAGCACAGTTGTTGTTTTGGTGCCATTTGACTATGATGGACATGGCATGACCACAAAGAGTTCTCGCTACAACAGAGAAACAGGAAATGAATCAGAGAACTTTCCAGTGTTTTCAACATCAGGCCCATAAAAACAACAATATGCCGCATATGTGTGTGTGCCTGTACGTGTATGAAGCGGAAGGTGTCTCCTGTCACGTCGCAGAGGTAATTTAAAGTGCCTGTTCCACATTTATCTCTTTGGACAGTGAAACCTTGAATAAACATAAATTTATGGATCTGGGCTTATTGTATGTGTATATCTGGATAATGGCGGTGCTGTTGACCTCTTATATTAGAATACAGAGGGGTGCAAAGCTGTTTGTCTTGGGCTCAGAGACAGTAATGGCCAAATAAAGGAAGTTACAAAGATCTCCCACCACCCCCACAGTGGATGATACCATTTAGTAATTAGCATACAGTACCTATGGCAACCGCTAACCTTTGTAAGACTCTTTCATAATGTTTGTACAGCCGTGCCCAACCTGCTTTATATAGCTCAACTGATGACTGTTAGAGATAGCAGTCTCTCTGTCTGTCTCTCTCGTTCCCTTTTACCTCTGTCTCTCACTGTCTGTCTCTATCTCTCTCAGACCTGTTAGAGACAGCAGTCTCTCTTTTTCTCTCTCTACGTCCTTTGCTTTCTCCTGTCCACTCTCTCAGTCATTATTTTTTTCTCTCTGACTGTCTCTCTTTGTGCGTGTCCATGTCTCAGTCACCCACTTCACCTTTTCATTCTATCCCTCCTCCACCCCCCATTTTCTCTCATACACTTTCTCAATCTGTCTTTTATTTGCCACACCCCTGACCCCCTCACCCCCCCCCCCCCCCCCCCCCCCCCCCCCCCCCCCCCCCCCCCCCCCCCCCCCCCCCCCCCCCCCCCCCCCCCCCCCCCCCCCTTCTGCACCATGTCTGTCAGAACAGCAGACAGCAATGAAAACAAATATTTGACATGTACCTACGCTAAATGTATGGGAAGCAGCCACTGCGCAAAATAGTGTTTGTGTAATGATCACACAGACTGATCTTTCGTCGAAATTGGTAGTTAAGAGAGAAGTTGTTTTTGTAGAGGTGTGCGCCTCTATTTCTTTTTTGCCACATTCATGACTGAAAATGAATTGAAAGCAAATGAGACACTAAACAAAAGGCTTGTGCACACTGTCATGAAACACAGCTTTGTTTACCAATTCGCCTGCTCTGAAATTGCTTATTTAATATGAAATATGAAAGTGATGGCTTTGTAATATTAGAAGAAATAAAGGATAAAAGTGCTTGTTCAGAGGACAGTGAAATAGGGTTGTCAGGCTTTTTATCACAAATCAAAATGCTATGAATCACTGATTAGTCACAATATTTAATATTCTGTGTGTTTTATTGATGAAATGTAGAAAGAATATCTAAAAAATTGTCTCAAATATTTACTTGACAAAATAAAGAAAATACTGTATCTAGAATAATGCCTATAATATTATAGATGAAGTGGTTAAGGTCTTTTTTTGCGTGTTCCACTTCCTGCTATAAATTGGAGCCGCAGTCTATCCAGCAGGCAATGGGAGCTGTAATTCAAGTCAATGCCTTCGAAATGATATTCAGAATTTAAATCATGGTGCTTCTATGCCAGTTTTGAAACAAATACCATAAATTATTCAAATTTTTTAGAGCGAGAGAGAGAGAGAGAGAGAGAGAGAGAGAGAGATTGGTATTTTGCTTGTTGACAATGGAGATTCGAAGATACCTTTTGTCCCCATGCCAAAAAAAAAAAAAAAAAGACGGCCTACAATCATGGGTCGGAGCAGTTGG